CAGACAGACAGGCAGGCAGGCAGGCAGACGGGCGGGCGGACAGACAGATAGATTGATTAAAAAGGAAGGGTGTCAATTCCTCAGTTCTGAATTTTGCACAACTCTGGTTTCTTGGCAAATTTGAGCACAGATTGTAGCTCTAGAGTTGCATGTGAGACTACTGTGTTTTTATTCTCATGAGAAAAAAATAGAAACGACTTTAAGAGGCGGACAGACAGATAGATTGATTAAAATAAAAGGGTGTCAATTCCTCAGTTCTGAATTTTGCACAACTCTGGTTTCTTGGCAAATTTGAGCACAGATTGTAGCTCTAGAGTTGCATGTGAGACTACTGTGTTTTTATTCTCATGAGAAAAAAATAGAAACATGAGACTTTAAGAAATATCTCTATTCACGTTCCACTCAAACACAAACCAGATATTGAGACATTAAAGAGATCATTTGGGGTTTTCTTTCCCACAGGGGGATATGAAAAGCAACCACATAAAAATCTGAATCTCAGAAAACAGTATCTTTTGACATAGATCATTGGATCATGGAAACAACATTTGGAAAATGCTGCATCGTCTATTAGAGCAGGCACACACTGAGGGAGAAAGCCTCGCAGGGCTTATCGCACGACTTCACATGGTACATACACATATATGGCTGCCAGCAAGTCAAAAGAAAGGAAAAAGCACCATTTAAAGATCATTCCATGCTAGAGGGCTGCTGGAACCACGGCATAAATGTTCCCCCTCCCTCTGAGCACCGACACAAGTCAGAATGCTGGCAAAGAACAAGCCAGCACTGGTCTGTCAGAGCTGATGAAGCGAACAGTTCAGATGCCCAGAGGAACGAGAGGAGAAAAAAAAGACAAAAGAACAGCTGGAAATACGAGGGGGAAAAAAGAAACGGAGTTTGAAATGAGATAAGAGCAGCTGCTGTTCACAATTATTGACTGTATATCCACTGATTGATTCATTTTCATAACTCTCAATAAGTACGAAATAAGAACTATCCAGCAATCGCTTGCCGATTCTGCTGAGTTAGATGAGTTATAGATTATGCAAAAAATTCCCTATCCGAGACAAAGCATGCAGCATTTCCAATGGATTTTGCCCAGTGGCTCTTAAGTGGTCTTTTCCTGCTGCAAAACATGTAAAACTACTAGACCAAACCCACCTGCTGCTTTTCAAAAGGAAATATACTCATTAAATTTCCCAATAGGGTTGATTCCTCACAGACAGACAGGCTTATGCTGAGTAAACAATGTTGCTTACTGATGCTGCGCACAAAAGGAGAGAGTGACTCACCTGAATACGCCCAATAGGGTTCCCCAGACGCCCTCCGCTCTCTTTGAGTGGCTGAGCTCCCACGATGCTCTGTTTCCACATGAGAAGCTGTCAGAGATAAATCAGATGACACTATAATGACTGTCCATTAGCATTCAATGCAAAACACGATCAATAATGCAATATGGTCCACCTTAGAAAATACTCTAATGCAGCTCCTAATGCCTGTATTCTTACCTCCATCATTTTACTAGAACTGCAAACATGCCGTGTCTCTTGACAGAGTAATCAAAAGTAATAATAACGCTAATAATAACACTAAAAGAGTACTCAGCGGGCCTCCGAATCCTGTGAAAAACCTGGAACTTTGCTCCTCTCATTAGAAACACTCACACCAGCTGAAGTTCCGGTCGCCATAATTACCAAAGAACAGCATGATTTGTAATTCTGAAAGAGTATAGGAGGTTGTGCTTAACAAACAGAAAGTTTCTTTTTGATTATCAGGCTTCTTTTAGTCTCACTTGTCAAGTCCGAGCTCATGAATTGATCGACTAAAAAAATTGAACCAACAGAGCAGAAATAATAGGGCAAGTTATTTATTTTTCATTGGCTCAAGTTAAAAAATATAGATGTGAATCATTACCCTAAATTTTTTTAATTAAATGAATGAAACATTTTTTTTTCAGTGTAGTTTTTAAAAAAAAAAAAAAAAAAAATAGTTCCTACATTTAGACTTTTACAATTATTTTTTAAATATTACCGACCCTAAACTTTTGACTGATAGTATATCCATTTCAAAAAAAGTTATTTTGTGAAATCATTTCCTTGACAAATATGCTTATAATTCTTTAAAATACATAACACGTTCTTTAATATTTTGTTACAAAATATTGCATTATTTTTATACACGCATTATTTAAGCATTCATGCATAAATACTAAATACATTTTAGGGCCACTGTACAGGATATGACATTTTGAATATTTCAAAGCACAAAAGTTCAAAGTGTAAAATTTTACAGCATGATATTAGATTTGATAACATTTGGTCTTTATGAATAACAGCTTAGTTCTGGATGAAAGCATCTGTTAAATGAGTTAAATACAGGGTTTCTACAGACATGAACAAGTTCAATTTAAGACTTTAAGACCTTTTTAATACCACCTTATATGAAATTTAAGACCTAAACCTGTAAGTGAAATACACATTTTATTACATACATATATGTAATATGTAATGTGTATAAATTAAAAAGAAAACAAAATATCATTGCTGTAATAAATAATATTTATTACTACGATATACAGTGAACTTTTCATGTCACCAGACAATATTCCATACAAAATTTCATACAAAAAATCGCTTAGTATTTACTCTTTGAATTCAATATGCACTGATTCTTATTTAAGCTACAAAAGTTATTTAGGTAAGAGCAGTGAGTGATTTTCTCTTTGTCTTTTGTTCATGGCCCCCAATATTGCAAGCTGTAGCGATATGCATATTGCGATATGTACATTTGCGATATTTCGATAATTTTGATATATTGCACAGCCCTATTGTATATGGTGATTTTTTGAGAAAAAAAGGCACTCTTCCGTGTGAACTTGATTAACTATATGAAGTGGTATAAATATACATATTTTCTGCCCCCATGTCTTGAATTTGTGATCATTCTGAATGTATTTTAATAGACTGAATCATGCCGTGAAAGAGCACACTCTAAATGTGCACGCGCACTAGACTTCATGTAATGCGTGTACTCTGTAGGTGTTTTGAATGTTTTTTTGCGTCGTGAGAATATTGAGCAAAATAGCTCACTTGTCATGGTGTTACTTAACTATATCATGTTATGAATAAACTAAACATTTTAAATTTTGACCTCGGTGTGTTTCTTCTGAGTTTGTGTGCTGTCACGCTAATTTGTTCTGAAGTCTCGAGACAAACAGAGTGTGCTTCAGCGCGACCTTGTATTCTGTTAACTTAGTGCAATTCTCTCTGATGACGCAGTAACTTACCGCGGGGTTCATTAAGAAAAAATCTTCGGTCTGTCCAATGATTAGGTCATTGGGTCATTAGGTCCGTCAGACTGAAGATATTTTAGCGGTAATGTGACCAAAAATATTTAAGACCCATCGAATCCGAATTTAAGACATGATAAGACTTTTTAAGGCCTTATATTAGGAAAACGTTATTTAAGACATTAAGACTTTTTAAGGACCCGCAGACACCCTGTAAATAACAACAAACATTCTGCATAAGCATTTATTATCAGTATTATGATTTTCTAAATCAATTGCAGATTTTCATCTTTTGTAATAAATATATACTTACACAACTTATTCCAGGTTATTCAACATTTCAGTGCTTTCACTTGAACAATGTAGGACTGCAATATTAATTTGGTCTAATATTTGAGATCACTGTACTGCTGAAAGATGAATGATTTTATAGCAGACTTAAACAACTTTCCTTGCAGTATTTTTCTCAAACCATTCATCCATCTGTGCCAACCTCCAATATAGGCCAGCGCTATACAGAGCTCTTTATATGGTTGACTAGTGCACCTTTATTCCGTTCTCAGCTACTGAACTCTGTTGCTGCTTCAAAGTGATTATTCGGCTCTTTGTGGCTTCTTTCATAAGTCTCCTTCTGCATGCAGGCTTTTGAGGGACAGTCTTTTCTATGCGGTAGCTGGATAGCTGACTTTGTGATAACTGAACAAAAAGTACTCTCTGGGGCATCTAATCGACATGGAGATACTGTATAGGGACATTTTTTCTCATTTATGCCTTTGTTTAACTTTGACTTTCACAGAATAATCTTTAGTCTTCATTTTCACAGCTGTCTTACAAATTCACACCCGAGCAGTGATTGGTTAACCGTGTTTCTATCGAAAATGCAGTGGTTATTTTAATGATGTGCAGGTCGTTAGGGCTATTCTTTTTTACCCGAGCAAATTCAGCTGTAACACAACAACTGAAAAGTTATGCAAACAGCATATTTGTAAATAATTGTAAAAGACAGCATATAATAGTAATAATATGTAAAATGTAATTCTATGTACACACACACACACATATATATATATATAT